CCCGAGTATCCAGCTGCCGGAGGCATCTCCACTGTAACTAACGAGCCAATGACGGTCAGTACATGACCCGGCTTCGACATGCTTGAATTAAGGATACAACTGTGCCCAGAGCCGCACCTCAGAGGCACGGATTAGCGTGGACTGCTACTCTTTTGGGCGCTACGGTAGGCTGGGCGACGCGAAAGTGATGCCTATCATAGCCGCCAATATGGACAAAGTTCAGGGCTCAATGGTCGGCAAAGAAAGATCAAAACAAAACCCTGCACTTGTCATGGTTATGGTTGTATTGAAAGCCACGAAAGAGGGGAAGAGCGCTCTACTTGTCCAATAGTCCAGACAAATTCATACTGCCTGCGCCCCGTCTCTGAAGCCTCGACCTCTGGTAGGCACTGCTCGGCATTCTTCGGTGTGCCACGTCTTGTGACCAACAGCGACTACAGCATATGACGCTTGAACTGCAGGAAGCTGTAGGCAACGCTAAAAATAGTTTGCCGACAACTGCAATATGTCGCTTGAGCCTTCTCTCTGTTTCTCTCTCTGTCTCTGTCTCTCCTTCTCTCCTCTGTTGTCGTCTCGGTAGCTGGGTATACGCAAGAGAACATCGCAAAATTTGCTCAGCAGTGCCTGAACGAAATACTCTTCGTCTCATATCCAGTAAGTTCTCCCACAGGCCAGCTCAATTTTTGAGATGTTCTCTTGCATTGCTATCTATCATCTAACACGTTAGTAGATTATTGCGATGACTTCCCCGACCCCAAGCCCTATCAGACAGGAGGATGTGCATGAAATAATATCTGAGGAGCATGGTCGAAATGCCAATGAGAATAAAATCATACGCCTTGGTTTCGCTGCCGAAGACGAGTATGGTGACAAAGAACTGCTCCTTTATGAACAGAACCTTCTCTTCGTTACTCCCAGTAGCCCCCAAGAGAGCAACATTTATGCCCTATCCCAACTCACAGGCCCCAGTCCTTCTGGCGAAGGAACTATCGGCGGACAAAATGGTATCGTCTACCTCGACTATGAGACTTTGGAGGAGCTCGAGCTCCACCAAACTTGGCCGCTCCGGCGGGTCGCGGAGGCGAAAACCATCGCTGTCCACTGGCTGTCTCTCTGTACCCAAAAAAAGCTAAAAGAGACCCTCATGACCGTCTACAGTCAGCTACGCGACATCGAAATGATCATCATCGTCGCTGACCACGTCTCTCGGTGTGCCTTGACGGACATCACCTGTCACCGGACGACGCCGCTGAAACTATGTGAGATGCCCCGCGAAACCATACTCAGATACGACAGGGCGATGGTGAACTGGAGCACCGTAGGGCAGAAGCTCCAGGAGATGATCCGCGACCAGGCGTTCTGGCAGGAGTGCAATCGCCAGTACGCGCTCGGGCAGATCCTCCCCGTGAGACTCCCTCATGTCCCCCAGGTCTATCTCGGGTTGTTCACTGGAGGTTGTGAGCATCAGGGAAGCCGGCGGATACCGCCCCAACTCCCCTCGTTGATACGCGATCTGGCCCCCGACCCGGCTGATATCGACGAGCTCCGGAACCCGGCGCAGGTGGAGAACCCGGTCTTCACGAACTACAGTTTGCAGGATCTTCTTAATTGATCCTGGGATATAGTCACGATGGTTTTGATGGAGATGCGTAAATGGATATGTTCCCAGTACTGTTAGCTGATATTGCTGTGGCGAGGGCTAGGAAGATGCACAGTTGGGATATGAATCCGTTTTTGGATTAGAATATACACTTGCGGGAACTCAGGGAACAATTCCATAGTGTAGCATCCTCATTTTATTAACCATCGATTTAGGCACGAGTCCTTCGCAAGTTCTTTGTGGTGCGGTATTGTTACCGTGGTGCCTCCCTCCCTTTTCATCGGGATGAAGTCCTCAAGGCCTGTGGCTGCCCTTGAGGCCCGTGACATTCGTGCCACCGTAACTGTAGTACACGACCCTGTCCTGGAAGCAAGCAGATTTAATAGGTTATCTGCTTATAGTGTACCGGGTGGTAGAAGTGAGCTGTCATTAAAACTCAAACCAGACCTTCCTCATGAAGATAGCTAATGTGACCTCTATACTAATAGCCTCCTCCTCCTCCTCCTCCACCTCTATACTAGTGTGCTGTGTCCAGTCGTTTTGAATAATTTACTTTCTCAGTATATTACTAGCTATATTGGGGATATTATTTACAACTCGCATATGACGAAAGTGAACCTATTATCTCATATTTCTAGTAATTCGTATTTCCTTGGCGTTATATCGTCTCGCGCTGGCGAATTAGAGAAGCACAGTTGATATCGGCAATCCTCCTCCGGTGTCCCCATACCAGCTGGATTGTAGCTTTATTTGACGAGTCCCAGCTCACCTAGACAGGGAATGCCGTAACGAAAAAGACACAGAATTGATTGGTTAGAGTAGCTGAAGCAGATGCAGTTCACGGACTTACCAAATGAGGCAATTCTTGTAATATATTGCAAGCAACCGTCAATCTGTATGGCATTGTCAGAAGGGAACACAACAGGTCAGAAATGACTAATTTCCCCTCATAATGCTTTTCTTCAGCCTGTTCTTTACAGAGTCTTGTCGCGCTTCGTGGACAGACAACAGGCGACTGACGCGAACAACACGATAACTATGACGTCCATTCAGGAATCCGTTGGGGGAGCCCGAGAAACAGGGCCTCCCAGTGCAATCGTGCCCAAAGCCCTCTTGGCTATAGGCCTACTTTATGTGCTGGGGTATCCGATATATGCCCTTTACCTCCATCCACTCCACAGCTACCCAGGTCCCTGGTTATCGGCGATTACTCGGATCCCGTACTGGGTCGCCTGTCTCCGGGGCTATCAAGTCAAATGGATGACGAGACAGCACGAGAAATACGGACCTACCATCAGGTTCGGCCCCGACGACCTCAGTTTCACCGATGCCCAGGCCTGGCGAGACATCTGTATGGTCCAAAAGGGCAAGAGGGAGAATGGCAAAGAACTCAGATTCCATGGGCAATCGGCCAACGGCATCCAGCACATGGTCACGGAGCCCGACACCGTTCGTCACGCCACTGTCCGACGTGTGTTCTCGCCTGCTTTCTCCGAGCAGTCGTTGAGGAAGCAGGAGCCTCTGTTTCAGAAATACGCCAATCTCATGGTCGCGTGTGCCCGTAAGAGCGGCGCTCCCAACATGACTGAACTCTTTGACTTCACGACATTTGATATTATGGCCGAATTCACGTTCGGGGAACCCCTTGGGATGCTTGAGAATAATCGATACTCGGAATGGGTAGAAATGGTCTTTAGTGCTGTGAAGGTAAGTTCTACACAGCTATTTGACTATGTAATACTTTATCTCATAATTGATTAATCAATCAACCGTGCCTCCCAGATTTTACCCACGATTCAACTGATCGAGTTTTACTCATGGACCAGGACTATATTCCGTCTTATCGAGCCTGAGTTTGTGAAAAACATGCGTCTTGACCACTTTAACCACACCAAGACACGAGTTGATAAGCGGCTCAAGGAAGGATCAGATCAGCCTGACCTCTGGAACTTGGTCGAGGATTCTGGAGTGCTCAGCATTGGCGAGATCTATGCTAATGCGGAGTTATTCATGGCAGCGGGGACCGAGACGACATGTGAGTTCTTAAGTTACGGGGGGGCTAGTTATAAAGGTGTTGCTAACACTTATAACCAGCCTCTCTGCTTACGGGGTTGACATATTACCTCATCAAACACCCAGACAAGATGAAGATTCTGGTCAATGAAGTCCGTGGGAGCTTTAGCTCGAATGAAGATATTACACTTGAGGCTATTAGCAAACTAGAGTACCTAAATGCTTGTAAATGGACCCAGGAGACTGTCATCAGGGAAATAAGTTTCGTAAACTAATACTGCTACGTCTAATAGGTATACGAGAAGGCCTGCGTGTCTATCCACCAGTACCCTCGGCCCTCCCCCGTGAGATAGCTGAGGGAGGGAACGCCATCATGGGTAAATGGATTCCAGGGGGGACTCGTGTCTCGGTGCACCCGACAGCCGCGTACCGGTCTCTGGCAAATTTCAAGTACGTCCGACTTCCTTAGCCCCCACGCTCCCTTTCTGCTCGCATGGTCGGAGAAAAGCCAGGCTCTGAAAAGACGGAGAGGCTTGCCCAATAATTACTTACCAATACGTACGTCCTAGGGACCCCAATGAATTCATACCGGAACGCTGGCTGGGCGACCCTAGATACAAGGATGACGTCCGTGAAGCTCATCAGCCGTTTTCGGTCGGGCCTAGGAACTGCCTGGGCATGAATATGGCCTGGCACGAGATGCGCTTATTACTGGCGAAGCTCATATTCAACTTTGACATCTCGTCGGACGTGGGGCCCGATTGGAGGGATCAGCACGTCTCCGTGCTCTGGCATCGCAAGCCTTTGATTTGCAAGTTGAAAGACGTGAGGGCGACGATCTAGGGCTGGTCCTTGATGACCGTCGCAATCCTGACTGCTGGTAGTTTCAGTATGATTATGGCGACTACACGAGAAGTGTTTCTCTGTACCAGCAGGAGTTGCACTACCTACTACATAGTTCTATTTTAGGCTATGCGCGCGAAGTACAAGCCCTGGATAGTAGTCGGGGTTAGTTTCTTGGCTATGAGTGAGAGACAGGTATAAGGTATATAATAAGAATAACATGAATACGAGTCGCTAGCAACACCGGTGGCAGTTTGTTATGGATTGATGCAGGATATCTTGAATACAAGTCCTCATATGCCTCCTTGATCACTTGGTTGCGTGTTGTCAAGGCAAGTATTGATATCTCACTTGTGATGTTGCAGAATATGTCAAAGTTTAATGAGATGAAGAAAGCCCGATACTCCCTTATCGAGTAGGTTTACCTCTGTAGGTACTTACAATGATGTTGAAAACTAAATGATTTTCGCTTCTTAAAGGAGTTGCAACAGTTTTATTTGAGAGCAAGGGAATATAATTGGGTTCACGTACTATACCTAGCACAGGCCAGGTGGCGGAGTGGTTAACGCGGTAGACTCGAATTCATCTTACATAAGATATATGTAGATGTAAACCTTGTGATCTACTTCCTTCGGGAGCGTCTGTTCGAATCAGGCCCTGGTCGATTTTTTTTTGGGGGATTCTGCTTCAATTCTCCTCTATGGAGTACTAAATTAAGTAGATAGATCTGGGTTACATTAGTTAGGTCCAGAGATTGGAGTTAGGGAGTTTGTACTCTGTACGTTTTACCCACGTCTTAGTATTGTTTTTTTCATTGTACCATGTGCTACATACCTAATAACATGCTACCTGCGTACACATGTTTCACAATGCTGTACCTGGCCAGAATCAAGTATATATATGTATGTATACTAACTACTATGACGATAATCTTACTATTAATATCCAAATATACGTGCTCTTGGCATCAATTGCCGACGTATAAAGATAGCAAGTAACAGGGATAGCTTTATCTAGAGTACCTATCTATGCGTATCGACAGGATCCCGTTGGTGGTCCAACAGTAGGAGTGAATGAAGGGGATATATAACCGGCGGCATATATTCTTATTACATATATTTTATCGATCGGACTTCGCCAGTTTTAGTCAGCTCCTTTTCCATGTTTCCCATATATAGGAATCGGAACTCCCGACCAGTAGGATATAATACGGACTCGCCCACTTAGCGAGAGATCCAATGCCCTATTCTATGATAGGCAGAATCTAGACTTACCTGGGTTTCCAACTTGCAACACATTAATTGATATGAAAGAATACCGGGCGATAGTTTCTCTATCAGGGGCTGTTGCATAGCCCATTAATCCGTTAGCGGCCAAGAACAACCATTTTTTTAGTCGTCGACAAGCGCTTAGGTATCCGCAAGATGTAGGTAGGAATTCGGCTTCTTAGTGTCCTTCACTGACGTTATGGCATTTCCTCTTGTAACAACGTTCTTGGCAGCATAGGCTGGGAATAACCTGCTAGCGAGTCACAGAACCATAGAAGAATGGCATGTGATGACGCCCTATAAAAGCGGACGCTATTAACTTACCTTAGTCATATAGTCAAGCGGGCATAAGTACAATGTTCATTAAACTTGCGATTTCGTCAAATGAAAGCTTAAAAGTTAATATTGGCAATCTGGCGCGTTAGTGACTTATATCTACTCTGTAGAGCCACAGCATTCATTTGCCTAAGGATTCGCCTTCTCTGTGCATTGCCCTCGATCGTCTCTGAACCCACTCCTGGCAACTAATCTCGCCATACTTCTTCTCTTCCCCCTCGGCAACGCAGCTATCGAGTACTCCACAGCTCTCGTTCAGATTAAACCCAAAGAAGAAGGGCATGCTGATCCTCTCCTTGCCGCTGTAGTTCTGGGCCCGGTGCACGTTGCTCACGTAGCGATCGTTGGTGATGCGCTGCATGTAGTCGGCGATGTTGACGACGAAGGTCCCGGGGATGGGCTTCGCGTTGATCCACTGCCCCTGGCGACTCAGCACCTGCAGGCCGCCGTTGTTGTCCTGCCACAGGATCGTGAAGAGCTGGAAATCGGTGTGCGAGCCGATAGAGACCTCTGCCTCTCCCTGCTCTGCCGGTGTCGCTGTCTGCGGGCGAGGGGGCAGCGGCGGGTAGTAGTTCAGTGCAAGGGCAGCATCCGGGTGCGTGAACTTTTCCGCGAAGAAGTCTTCGGGCAGGTCAAGCGACAGTGCGAAGCACCGCACGAGGGCCCGCGCCACAGCAAGACACGAGCGCCAGTAGCGCACGATGGCGTCCTTGAAACCGGGCAGGTTGGCAGTGGCTTCCCAGTAGAAATCTTCGCATCTCAGGTACTGGGCGATGTGGGGTGGGATGGCCGCGGGATCGGGCACCGAGGGGTCGAACCGCGGGTCGTAGGTCCACGAGAAGGTCTCGCGCACGTCGACCGACTCGAACGGATTGATGCGCTGCGAGTTGGGCGACTTGTAGCCGTTCAAGTGCCTGGACTGGCGGGTGCTGGCGCGCTCCTTGATCTCTCGCGGTTGCCGGAAGAACTCGAGGAGTCTCTCGCAGGCCGCTTCCGGTACATCCGGCGGGATGCCGTGGTTCTTGATGTAGAAGAACCCGTTGTTGGTGGCTGCGTCTCGGATTTGGCGAGCCACATTCACCCGAGCATCCTCGGAGGCGCTGAAAATTCCCGAGACATCGATGATGGGAATCTCTGACGGGAGCGCATCGCGTAGAGGCGTCTTCAGTATAGTCCTGGAGACGGGTCCGTTGCCGGAGGAGAGCCGTAACTGGGTTGTGGGGTGCATGTCCCCAGGAATGATAACCGTGTCAACGCTGGCGGAGGCCATTGATAGATAGATCGGTCTTACTATTTTTGTGGCAATACCGAAGACCAGGCTAATATCAGTTAGTCAAGGGCTTAACTTAAGATGGGGAGTAATTACCGTAATTACCGTCTATTATACGAGGAAAGGGCTGGTTGGCGGTGCTGTGTAACAAATCCATGCACCAGTCAGTATCGGCCGTCAACGAAAACGCATGCTGCTGGTCTCGGCGGTCTCGGCGGTTGGAGCGGCTTAATGTGATACCCCCCGTTCCGACGGCTTGAGTATTGGAAAAGCATATTAATGATAAGGGTCAATTCAATAGCTGTGTAGAATAGGCTTAAATTGAAACTATGTGGAGAGAAGGAATCCGTTGAAGCAGCCGTCACCAGCACCCCTTTTCTTCCCTTGACTTTAACAACACATGAGCAGTATTCAGGGGCTTAACAAAATACAAATATCTGTCCATCCAGCAAGATATTCATTCGGTGAACTGCTATGGGCCGGAGATGTCCTCAAAAATCTTCGAAGTGGGGTAGCAAAAAGAGACAACAAAAGAAGAGACTTTGAATCCGCACCACGATAATGATGCGAGATATACGATGATTTCGCCCGGACTTGAACCGGAGACCTTCAGTGTGTTAGACTGACGTGATAACCAACTACACCACGAAACCATTGATTCGAGCGATCATCATGATCCGGGCCATGATTGATCAATGGCGGCTGGTGGGTTGTTGCTCGCTATATTCCAGGTATTCGGTGTAGGGTTGTGATTGGGGACCGGACCCACGCCTGGTGTATGTAGACTAGGTAGACTACGCTAGATAGCATTAGCATAAACTACCTAGGTAGGGAAAGTGTGTAACATGGGCAGTTACTCCATCCATTAATTATACAACGTTACTAGCCTACCTACAGTAATTCAACCGTAACATCGCCACAACGGCGTGTCATGCCTCTAATAGGAAATTGATTCCGTGTGCTTAAAGCAAACACCTGGATCGTAGAACAAACATTTGTTTCGACAAGGAGGTGACTGGAACAGTAATTTATGAGCTCATTGTTAGGTTATCAATCTGGCATGAACTGCGAACATATCGTAGGTGCCATCCATATATTAATTAGTATATACCAAATAAGAGATTTCGGGGAGTGCAATCCCTCGAGCCAGCTCTCGTCATCTCGTCATTATACAGTTGGGGTTCAGGTTGACATTATATATAGATAGATATACATTCAGTGCCAAGATGCGGCTTGTGTAGGGTCCTGCATTACTGATGGCATGCCGAAGCTATGCATACCCTGGTGAGGCATATACGGTCCATACGCTTGAACAAGGTAGTTCCAGTCCATCTCACCGCCCACATTGACATCAGGAAATACCATGGAAAATTGCCTGTTGATATCGGCAGGCTGCATGCTGCCGAACATGTCGGCAGGATGATACATTGCTGTATTGGGCACAACGTTTGTTGCCGGCGTAGATGACGACGGGGGTGCCGAAGCGAACCCGGCACTCGTTACCGGCATCTTCGGCGATGGCGTTGGTAACGGGGTCTTGTCCTTGGCCTTCTTAGGTTTCTGAGCATCGATTTGTCTCATCACTGTGATCAGTCTTGGCGGAGCTAGAGTGCGGCCGTTTGCGGCTTCGGCGGCTTCTCTGGCGTCCCAAGCCTTCACGAAGAGTGCACTGAAGGCGAGGTGTAACGGGGTGCGTGTTGTGGTAGTCATTTTCCTCTTGTCTGCATGCTCGAAAATTGTTTCCCAAGCGCGTTCACATAGGTCCCCAGTCGTACGATGCCGGAGCTCACTCAAAAGACAAACATACGCGGGGAATGGAAAATACATCTTTGTATACCAGAGGAAGCCTTTTAGTCTTTCATGAGCTTGCATCATACTGTCATACTCGAGCATCCGCATGGCCTCGATTAGGAGAGCCTCACTCTCGGCGGCGGGCAAGGGGGAAGGAGCCGTTATCGCGACTCGGAAGAAACCAGAGTAGACTTTCAACTTGGAAATGTTGCCTCGCGTCATGAGGAGCGTCATGTAGTGAATAGGTATCGTTGGGTCACAGAACTTCAGGTATGTCTCCTCCATGTAGTGCGCGAATTGGTCGAAGTAGCCTGAGAGGCGATGGTCGGCTAAATTTGTGACGGCTTGTGGATTGGCAGCAGATAGTTGAGCCTTCATCTTGTCGTTGCCCGGTGCTTGAGCGAACTCGAGTCGTGTAAGAGAAAATATCATCTCGGTAGCACCAGTATGGGGCGGAGGAGAATCTTTGGCATGAGTATTCAGGTCGGCGTCGTTGATATTGCGTGGTAACTTGCAATTACCACCCGTCGAGATGGCCGTGATGGTTGATCCGCACATTTCTCCTATGCGTCTGTCAAAGCCAGCTAAATTCCACCAAAGCCTCCGTCTCTCCTCAACTTCGAAAGGGGAGAAACCAAATTCAGCTCCGTCTCGTTGGAGACCGAGACGTTGGGCCAAACGGACACCCATGCCCGTTAAACAGAACAGGGAACGAGGGTCTGTATATTGTCTGACACCAATCTGATACTGGTTAGGATTAGAAGAATATCGAATGTCAAGGAGGGCATCTTACACAATACAATAAGTAGGCCTGCAGCATTGTTAGATCAGGCATACGCATGAATCCCGCATTGGACAGCGCTTGTTGCGTGCCATGTTGATATTTCATTAGCAAGCTTGATTTCGACTCGGTGAATGTCTGCTCTGTTTCATCGTCGGTAAGACTCGTGATTGCCATAAGGTAGATAGCAAACATTAGTGCCTCTAGGCTTTTAGATA